TCATCCCTTCAAGCATTTTTCAATCCTAAAGGGGGCAAATATTGTTTGAGGACAACGGTATCGTGATCAAGTCTTTTGGTGGATATTTCAAGTTTGATTTCTTGTCTTCAAGTTCGTGTTTAATTGCTGCAACTTTGGTTTGTTTATTCTTCAATTCTCGGTGTATTCTCCATTGTTTTTCAACAATCTATCCATTATTCAGTCGAATATTTAATGGTCCATGCAAGCATAAAATTATTCTATTCACAAAAAAGATAGATAGGGAGGATTCCATTATATTATGCAATTAAATTGAGTTAATTTCACTAATGATCATTAAAATTTGTACAAAATTTCAAGTTGCTCACTAAAGATTTTTTCTATCAAATTCAGTACTAAAGTTTGTAGTAATTTCACAATTGGTCACACAATTAATAAATGAAAATGAATATTCTAATGTGACACCCACCATTAATTTATTGAATAGTACAAAAATAAGTATAAGTAACATTTATCCTATGTTTGTAAACTATTTATAAAATCTCTTTTTATTTACATATTTCAAATGATTCATATGTATTATCCACTTATCAACCCTTATTTTTATCTGTTTATAATATAAACTTTTTATAAAACTTCTCAAACATGCTTTTAATGTGTGAAAAGTTTAGTTAGTACTCCAGGGAGTCTTGAACTATGTCGAAAAAAAAATATAAAATTTGTGAATCTTACGAAATATGAAGATAAGAATAGAATTTGATCAAATTTAAGCCATTATAAGCAATGTCAACATTTGGTCGATAACATGAGAAAGACGACTAGTGCACAAATGATTCAAATGAAAAATAAAAATGAGAATGTGTGACAATTGAATGATCCGTGTTTGGTTTACTAGATGCAATGTCAATTTATTTATTAAGCTCCTATTTGATGAATATTAAAATTAAAATTTTAACATATTTAGATAAAAGTTGAAAAAAAATGTGTCGTTGAAAAGTTATGGATTCCATAAAATATGGGTTAAATTACTTATTGGCTTTGATAAAAATTTAAATTTTTAATTCCTATCAAATATGAACTAATTTTACTTACTGGGCGACAAAAATTGAAATCATCATAAATTTTAGTGACTAAGCCTCTATTAGACAACAATTATTTTACAAACTCTTTTTCTACGTATTTGTTTTCAATCACATATACAACAAAATATTTTGTACGTAAATTCAAAAATTTTTACTCTACTTTTTAACCATACATTATCTTAAAAATCACTATTAAATTTTTTTTTTTTTTTCAAAATAATGATTGTCAAACAAGGACTAAATGAGTCGGTTAAATCTTTAATAACCAACTTACAATTTTGCACAAACTTCAGCCACCATTGGTGAAATTAACTCGATCAAATCAGAATAAAATTTAATATGCATTCTAAGGTACAAATCAAATCCAATCAAATCAGAATAAGATTTGATTAGAATCAGCAATTTCAATGACTTTTACAGTTCCACCCTTCAACACACTATTTCTTCCTCACTCTCATTCCCTTAAACTTCTGCTTTTCCCTTGTAGAAGTAACTTCTCCTCTTCAAACAAGAATCTCAGAAGCACAGGTCTCTTTCTCTTCCCTATTATGTAAATTCGTTCCTTTTTCATTCAAATGTATAAGCAAGTAATTCAAGATTTTATTTTCATTTGCTTAACTCTTCAATTGATCTAAATTTTCACTCAGAAACGGGAAAAAAGGAAAGGAAAAAACAATGACCTGATTTTATCTATGTTATATATAAAATAATTTCAATTGATACGGTAACACGCTCACTTTTTCATACATAAATACAAATATCTGTAGTTAAGCATCAAATTATTATTATTATTAATTTTTTTTTTCAGTTCAAAGATGTTCAAATTAGATCAATATTTTTAAACTCGCGAAAAGAAAATAAACCCACGATTTTGTTTATGTTAAATTGTTATATGAAAATATTGAAAAAAGAAATTAATCCCATACTGTACTTCTCACTTCTTTACCTACATGGATATTGGGTAAGCAAGAGTTGTCTTTTGGTTCTAGCAGTTTTTTTGTGCAAATGGGTTGATTGAATTTGTAAAATTTCGTTTTGTAGGACGAAAGATTTTACCTTTGCACTATCAAAACCAAGAAGTGCTATATCCCGAGATGAGTAAGAATCTTTATGCAGATATAGAGCCATACAATACCGGTTTTTTGAAGGTTTCAGACATCCACACCCTTTATTATGAGGAGTCAGGAAATCCTAGTGGACATGTGAGTTATCATTACCTTTCTTTTTTGGAGGGGCATAAAAGCTCTATAATTAGTTTTATTTTAAGCTCATACAATAGTTTATTTAACTACGGGAAGCGTTCAATGTACCAATATTTTTGATAAAGCTATTTGACAAATGGTGACAATCCTTAAAGTAAATTAATCTAACGGTGTAAATCTAACTTAGAAAACATCAAAACTCTAATCATCTTCAGCCCTCACACCCTGCTGCTGCCTCCTTAATAATCAAGGGATATTTCTCTGGCGGGGAGAAACCCCCCTGAATTCGCTGTAGCAGGGGTTATAATCCCACCCTTAATTCGGCCGGTGGAGGGAGGGAGGGGGGAATCACTCCCCGTTAACCAGGAATTCATGGGGAATTTCTCCCCCCATGTTTGCAAGTTAACAGGGGGTGATTTCCCGCTCTGATAATTCATGGAGATTCCCTTCATCCCTTGATTAAGGAGAATGTGGTGGGGATGGGGGTGAAGGATGATAGGTTTTTATATTTTTTTTAATTAGATTTATACTCTTAAATTAATTTAATTTTAAGAGATATGATCATTTCTCAAATACCCTTGTCAAAAATATTTGTCCATCGAATGCCCCTTTAACTATATATATTAGTTCGTCAAATTGCAGCTTGTCTATATTTGTCTAATCAAATATTTGTAGCTTTGTTATGTAACACTGGAACTCTTGACTTGCTTAGCCAATTTGTAACAAGGGCATTGATTTGTGAAATGTTATTACACTATTCAATCTTAAAGTAGGAGTCCAAATAGACTTTTCATGGAAGCAAGAAGGCCATAGGTTAGATAATATTCTTTTCGTCCTTGTTTGTAATTATTGTCGAACTTTCTCTTGTTACTTGTCTGGTTTTAGAATATGTTTGATATGGGTCGCTAATAGTAAATATTGTAATCAGGGACTGAAATTTGTGCAATAATTGGATTTTTTCCCATTTTTCGTTTTGTTTTCCATCTCAAATAAAGCTTATGATAGAGTGCCCACGGAAGTGCTATGGTGGGAGATAGTCTACTAGATATTTCAATATTTCTAAGGATATGTACGATGGATCTGTCACTAGTTAGATGTAGGACTTGTATCAAGGACCTGGTTATGCCCTAGTCCTTAGTTCACATGCTGTTCAACTTATTATAACCTTTTGAATATATTTTTAATGATGCAGCCAGTAGTTTTTATCCATGGAGGACCAGGAGGTGGAACTTCACCTAGTAATCGGACATTTTTTGATCCTGAGTTTTACAGGATCATTCTATTCGATCAGGTTAACTACCTAAATTGATTTGCTTATGTGAAGCTATGTACTAACGCGTGTAATATTCTTTATCAAAAAATTGTTTCTTTCCAGCGAGGTGCAGGTAAAAGTACACCGCATGCATGCTTGGTGGAGAATACGACATGGAACCTTATTGAGGATATTGAAAAGCTAAGGGAACACTTGGAAATTTCAGAATGGCAGGTTGAAACTTTTCTGCTTGAGAAGTTCGGTAATTCTAATTTTTATGTCCTTATTATAATCATTTTGTAGGTTTTTGGCGGTTCCTGGGGAAGCACGCTTGCTCTTGCCTATGGCCAATCACATCCGGACAAGGTTTTTCATTTCTTCTTGTTCCTACTTTTCTCTTTGAAGAGGTTATAACTCTATAATTCCAGTTTATTGAGTATAAACTTTCGATCATCTTTTTTCAAGGTTACAGGCATGGTCCTGAGAGGGATTTTTCTATTGCGCCAGAAAGAAATTGATTGGTTTTATGAGGGTGGTGCAGCTACTATATTCCCTGATGGTACTTTTCTTTTTCCTCTTTTTTTCCCCCTCTTTTTTGCTTTTAAAATATAAAGGCTACACTGAATAGATGGGCTTACACTGAAAGGATTGGTCACTTGAGTTTAAATGGCTGAAATGAAGGAGTTATATAGATTGAAGTTAACAGATTACATTCTCCTAAAACTCTTTGGCAATGAAATTTTAACTATGTCTCCATAGTTCTAGTCAGATTAAAATGAGGTTGTTAACTGCATATTTAAGTTGACAAAAATGTAAACCTATTAATCTCATTAATTGTAATCAGCTTAAAATTGGGTTCTTAAGTCCATATTTAAGCTGATGAATTCACAAGAAGCTAAAATTCTTTGTGGCAAGTCCTTTTTGAGTACTTCTAACATGTAATTTTGGAAAAAAATGACCAAATCTGTATAATTGTGCAAACTTTTTCCTATTTCTGTTATTTTCATTATTCCTTGCACATTAGAGATGACTTACCCTTACGAGCATGTTTGTCTGAGTTTACTTATAAGTAAAGTACATAAGAAACTTTTAAAATAGATAACTTTTTATTGGTCAAATTTAGAAATAAGTAGGTTATATTGACACTAAATTAAGAGTTACTACTTTTTGTTCTTTTTTTTTTTTAAACTTGAAAGTGATAAAATAGTAACAGATCCAAAAATTTATTGTATTTCTTAAATTCTACCTTGTTTGGTAGTGAAAATACTTCTTAATTGGAAATTTCTGTAGAAATAAGTTATTATCGAGTAAATTGATTATGTATTTTCATTTTGCTCTTTGGACTTTGCTGAGGGTTTGCGTCTAAGCAGCTGAGTGCTCATTTCTTTTCTATTGCAGCCTGGGAGCCATTTAGAGATCTTATTCCAGAAAGTGAGAGGGGATGTTTTGTTAAGGCCTATCACAAGATGTTAAACTCTGATGACAAGGAAACACAAGTAAGATTTTTACCTTGATTCATTTTTTTCGTTTATGTCCTTTTCTGATAAACTTACCCATGTATGTCTTCTCGCATTGGACAAGCGCACCCACCCAAGAAATCAGAAAAACAAACGAAAACAAACCAAAAAAAATAGGAGAAGAGAATATAATAACGAAAAGGGGGATTCTTTTACTACTACAACACGGTTTTATTTTGGATGTCTTGATATCATGAACTTTTGTACCTTTTCATTTAGTGTGAGTTTGATTGCATTTATTTTCCATGAAAAATATCAGTTTTCCACCAAATTCCTATTTTGGAGTGCTTGATTGTTATTTTTTTCCATTGAAAATATTTTCCAACTTTTGAAAATATACATAATTTTCATTTTTTTATGGAAAACATTTTCTTTGGGGGAGTAGGTTTTTGTTTTCCTCAAAACAAGGAAAATATTTTTTTTTTCTAGGAGATATTTTCTATGCCAATCAAACACACTCTTAGAGACTTTTAAATGCATTGAGAATTGCTTATTATTGAGTTTTGGCGTCTTTGAACTGTTGAAAAACTTGCATTCATCTCCTTTCAATTTGCGTTGTCCCATAAGTATATGGAAATTTCCTTGATGCTTTTTCCTCTAGGAATATGTGCATATAGTTTTCAATCAGGAAATTAAAAATCTAGCTTCGAAAAACTAGTAGTTTTTTTGCTAATGATGACAGAATTAGGTGGTGTTACCAGCTATAGCTATTCTGCGTTAAAGTAATATTCCTGTGAACTGCACACTATACAGTAGAATTAAAGTGGTAGGTATTACGGGAATCCAAAAATCAAGACTTCTCAATTGGCATCTTTTTGTCTTGTAGTGTGTTTGAACACAGTACTGGACAATCCTGCATTATATAACTTCTCTTTCTTCTTAAGTCCTATCTAGTCCAACCGGACAAACCAAGCATGTAACTAATATATCTTATTTTACATTTTCTTTGTGTGTTTTGGCAATTTTTGTGTTCCTAATCCCTTGGATGTTCAGTATGCAGCTTCAAGAGCGTGGACAAAATGGGAAATGATGACTGCCCATCTTATCCCAAATGAAGCTGCATTACAGAGAGGGGAGGACGATGAATTTTGCTTGGTAAGTACAGTAACTGCAAGGAGTTAATATTAAAAGTAATATAAGAAAATATCTTAATATTTACCTATCAATGTTTGCCCACTGGACACTGCAAGTCCAAATCCCATAGGTCCTATGAAATGTCAAAATATTTTTACGACACATGTCAAAGTGCTGGAAAGGAAAGAATATTTTTTACATATCTACCCAGTTTGTCTACTTTTTGGGAAATGATAAAAAGAAGGATATCTCTGCCTACATTAGAAAAATCCTCATCTAACCAACTCTACAATCATTGGGATTATGCGAACAAACAAAAAAGCAATGATTTCTTGGTCAGATTATGCTACTTGGATGCATTCTATTTTAGGTTTAGCTAATAATAAACAATTCATTTATGACTCTTCGGATGTCCCTGTAATGCATGTATTTTACTGTGTGAAACTTCAGCTATGTACTTTTTTTTTTTTTTGGTTATCTGTCCATTTTATATGCATCTAATTAAAAAAAAAAATTACCGATGTACCTGACTCTCAAATTATGATTCCTGGTCAAACAAACTCCCAAAATGAGCCAAACATCTTATACCTCCCATAGTTTAGAAAAAACCTAATTGAAACTTGCCTCGGAGAGGGGCGTGAAAAAAATGCCTCAAGATACTGATTATGAGGCAGTTTTTGAAGGCATACACCTCAGTTGTGTGGGGTACATGCCTCACAACACCCTCTCAAGGCCTATGTGGCCTATAAAACATAAAAATTCTGATTGACCCATTTTGAAAATAGTCCAGTGCTCACTAAAACATTAAAAAGCTGTGTTTGTCGTGAACCCATTTTTTGAAATAGTCCACTGCCCCACAGCTAAAATAATAGTTTCTTTATAAATTTTTCTTTTGTTTATTTGACTACTTTGCTATCATTGAATATTGTATATGATGTATTATGTGCTTATTTTGCATTCTTTTTTTTTTTTGACATTTTTGTTTACGGTGAGGCTTATACCTCGCCTCATGAAGGGAAAATGCCTCTATACCCAATAACACCTTTTTAAACATTGATATCCCACCCCCAAACAAAAGGAAAAAGAAAAAAGTAAAGCGAAATGGAGAGATCAAGCGTATAAAATGTGGCTAGAAGCACTATATTTTTAGTTCTATGATATCATGGATCATCAAATAATACAATTTAGATTATTATATTTCCTTGTAATACCACTTGAACACAGGAAGCCAAGGAATCTTGACTACGCAAGTGTTGTTTAGTGGAGCATCTACTTTTTTTCCATTGTTCTAGCTTAAAACATCTATAAATCTTGACACTTTATTATGTATCATAATATGCATTTATTATGTATCGTGCAGGCATTCGCAAGGATTGAGAATCATTACTTCATGAACAAGGGCTTTTTTCCTTCCGACTCATTCTTGTTAGATAACATTGAAAAGATAAAGCACATCAACACTGTAATTGTTCAGGTACATGTACCTTTCTCATGATTGTACCATAAATAACTGGCATATAGGAACTCTTGTGTGCATTGTTTATTTAAGGAGGAAGTATATGACGTTACTTTTATGCAATCATAAAAAAAATACTTGATAAATTATGATTTTAGTTAGAACTGTGTGTAAAAGAGCCCATATTTCTGAGGTGTGGGTGTTAATTGAGAAATGATGGCTGGAAGATCCAAGCCAAACCAAGCAGGTGCCCAATTTTTTCAACAACATTCATTTAAGTACTTACTATTTTGTATTATTGCTTAAAGATCATTCTTAATTCTTTCTTCATATTATAACCATTGTAAATGTGTCATTGGTATGCATGTAGCTTAAATTATATTCACAGGAAATTAAATTTATAATCGAAAGAAGCCATTCTCTCTGTGATGGAAAACAACTAGAAGTCTTCCGGTGCAACAAGATTAAAAATTAAATTATATTTCAGTTAGGCTAGATTTTATTGGTTGTTATTAGATTTAATTTTGTTGTTTTAACAGTTGTTATTTACTAGTTCGTCTAGATTCAATTTATTTTCCCCTATAAACGGGTACCTATGTTTTTCATTTCATTAAAATAACATTATTATCATTATTGAATCAAGATATTGAGTTTACTCCACCTGTCCTAAATTCTTCTTAATTCCTTATTTTTTTCTTCTCTCTCTTTTTGTGTTACATTCTGCATCATTTTCATCTTGTGCAGGGAAGGTATGATGTTTGCTGCCCCATGATGTCTGCCTGGGATCTTCACAAAGCTTGGCCAGAAGCTGATTTCATAGTAAGTAATTGCTATTTATTTTTTATGACAAAATATTTCTTCATAATATTGATTTACTAAGAAAAGTATGTCAAGCTTAATACAAGTAAACAAGTAAGTTTTAATATAGATAGTTCCTTTACCAGTCAAAGCTGGAAATTACTAAGTTATTAAATTGTAAGGTAAGAGTTACTTTCGAAATAAAACATTTTTATTGAAAAATAAAAAATAAGTACCATATCCGAACATATTTGGTTACTAATATCTGCTTAAAAGTAACTTCTACTTTTTTTTTAAGCTTAACCAATCGTTTAATCAAGAAGTAGAACTGAAATAAATCCATTCTCTTAAAAATATTTACTACTAGTTGTAACTCCTCAATAATCTCCTGTAATATGGGAATAAACTCAAAAAATTTACTAAAATTTTACTCTGGCCGAGTAACTTGTTATTGAGCAAGCAAAACAGTGTATAAAACATCGGAACTAGGATACAACAACAATAACAGAGAAACTACAATTTATTCCCAATTAAACACCTGAACTACAATAAATTTTCTGAAATCTGCTACTCCTAAATATCTTTCGAAATTGCTCGAACTCTGATTTATTTTAGTGGTATGCACAATATAATCTCTCTCCCCCCTTGGAACCCTTGTCTTCAAGGGAGGATTTACTAGTAGATTGGCATGTGAATTTGTGTCAGGTCTCATTTGAAAGGTCTAAATTAGCTAAACTAGTTTCTGTTTGATAAAGCTTCCATTCATCAAGAATTTACAAATACGTGAAACAAGTCAACCGGATGATCCCACTCACCACGTAACTGATCTCCTACTAATAACGTTAATACAACTTGAATAACCTACAGCTCCCTTGTGTCTTTCAAGACTTGTACAGAACACTCCACAATTAAGCTTAGGGGTTGGAACCTGTAACTGGAAAACTTCCTTTACCTACTTTGGCATCACTATCTAAATTCAACTTCTGTTTCAGAATTTGCTTTATGTGGGCTTGATGTTTGCTTTAGTATAAGGTGAATCTAGAACTTTGCCAAACTTGTAATTTCTCCCTATGTTTCAGGTTGTTCCTGATGCTGGGCATTCTGCTAATGAGCCGGGGACATCAGAACAACTGGTTGCTGCAACCAATAAATTGAAATATATTATCAAGGAAAAGTAAAGCTAAAATTTTCAGCCTTTAAGTTGTTTATTTGATCCAGTATTGTGAACCTACTGCAGTTTGTTTCCTGTTTATGGGGTTTGTAATCCATTTGAAGATGTCGACAACTTGTTAGAGGGGCATCCTCTCTATTCTGTTTCGTGAATATGTTGAATCTACTTCGAGTATATGAACTTGGTGACACTTTTAGGTTTGTCTTCAATAAGACGTTGAAAATTCTATCACTGAAACCCCTAGGAATTTTGTTTTTGGACACAAGAACAATATGGAATAAGTCTACAAATGTTGTATATTTGTCACAGAAAATGTGAAAATCAATTACTCCACCTGAATGAAGAAAAATGTCAGATAATTTTTGTTACAAGTAATGATTTGATACAACTTGTACCACATTTCAACATAAATTTCTGAAGAAACTGAAATTTGAAAATGAGGACAAATGTAGACCTCTTTGAACACTGAACTAATACATAATTGTACAAGAAGATTGTAGACCTCTTTGATCTAATGATGACAATCACCTATGTTAGTATATTGATGATAACTGGGAAGCAGCAGATAATGTGCCATTCAGGTTTCCTGCTTTTCCGGGTTCTGAAGTTTCATTTCTCTCTTTAAGTGGTCGACTAGGAGTCATATACGAAATTATCTCCCTCCTTGTTGAATCAAGCCTTCAAAAATTGAGATTCCTCGAGTTATTCTGAAAAGATAATTATTCTTTCCAGTCAAGGACACATGATTCTCACTTACCCTTGATGTTGAACTTGCTGTTTCAGTAGAGAAAATTTAATTTTCCTGAAGTTCTCTAATCTTTGAATTGCGTTGCTTTCGAGGGGGAAGTCCTATGTTTCGGCTCTTGATGTTTTGAAAGGTTTTGTCTCTGTGGTGTCATAGTAGCTTCTGCTTTGAATCTCACTTTCCGGGAAACATATAATAAGTGAATGTTTGAATTAATTTGCGTGTTTGGATTTTAGGACTGAAGAAGAAAATCTCTGTAAATAAAATTACTTTTGTATCACTTTGTCGAATTTTCTTTGCTTCTTTTTCACTGCCTTAATGCTGATTTTGGAATAATCTATTTCGTTATCTGCTCCCGTTCTCCTGCCCGCGGCGGGCAAGTTTATAATGCCCACTCGGAGAGAACCCAACGTGGGGTTCTCACATTTGAAAAGAACCCCACGTAGGGTTCTCCTGCCACATCAACAGGTGGGCACGATAAACTTGCCCGCCGCGGGCAGGAGAACATTTTCGTAGTGGACTAATATTTTACGGGAAAAACATCCTAGTTAGTTGGAGAGAGAGAGAGAGAGAGAGAGACTAAAACAGTAGTCACATGATAGATCAATTTGTTGGAGAAAATAAGATATTATAGCCACAATATGAAGCAATTGATCATAAGAACACAAGAATAAAATAATTTGTAGAAAATGAAGATTTTATTATAATATGGAGAAATAGTACAAAGACTATGTGTTTACAATATTTCTAACTTCTTACTAAATCATAATGAAGAGTGAACTATATGTGGGGAACAAATAGGGGATACCCAAACCTCCATAGTATAGTTGCAATTGAAGTATAATGCAAGAAATAGAGCCCAAACGGAATAGGGGACAAAAATAGTGCATGCAGGCAGAATAGGTTAGGGGAGGCAATGGCCGAGTCGAGCCGGCTAGGCCCATACACACACGAGCTCGACTTGTGCTCGTCACAAGCCGTACTCCTGGGTCGAGCTTGGCTCAACCCGTGAGCTCGTGGCTCACGAGCCGAGCCGAGCCGATCTCGTCAATTTTTATTTTTTTTTATATAAGATAAACCTTTTTTAAAAAATAAAGAGATAAACCTTCGATTTTGGACGAGCTCACGAGCCGCGCCCGCCTACTCGGCTCATCTTTTTGATGAGCCCGAACTGCTCGTGGCTTGTTTTTGACGAGCCGAGCGATCGAGCTGACGAACTGCAGGGCCCCGTTGCCATCCCTAGAATAGGTGGGGCAGCGCCTGGTGCCACTGGGGCACTAGCTATTCTACCCAATTTTGCTTGGGCGGTGCCTACTCGGCGTTTAGGCATCCTGTCTCCGTCCAAAAACCTTCTAAATGTGTTTTTCTTCATTCTAAAATCATTTTTAAGTTCAACTCAAATTCCTACTTTCAATTGGCTTCCAAATAGAATTTCAATTTAGAATTCACCAAGAAAACTTCAGTAGAATTTCATAATAGCATTCTAAATAGAATTCTTCTTAACGTGCACTCTAATTAGAACTCCCAGTTATCTTTAACAAAAAATTCGAGTTACACCCAAATTCTAATAATATCTACCTTGATACGAATTCCACTCTAATAAACAAAACATCAAAAGAATTCTCTACTAGAAGACAAAGTTCACTATAAAGAATAAACTTTAACTCTTCAATGAAAAAACACAAACACACTTCTCAATCAACAATTCCAACTAAGAATATTCTCCACCTCCACTATCCCAACTAGGGGCAAAAGTGATCTAATGACTACCAAATAAAGCCGAAACAAGCCATGTAATAGAATCACATCTGAGTGCAACAAAATAAGGATTTTGGCGAAAAGCAACACCCTTAACTGTATTCAAACCATCAACAAAATCAGCTGAACTGTACCTATGTGGAACCTTATGACAAGAAATGAATCTATTTCTAGCAATTGAATACGATGACACTATTGTTAATGGTGGCACGACAGATTTACCCATATCTTTTTAATCAACTGAGATGTATACTTGAACGAAGAGCCCAAATTAGTCTCCAATTGTATAGAATCCAACACAAAATCCACCCAAGTTCTTAAAATATGTCTATTACCTGAAGATTCTGTATCACCATATAAGATATATAAATGAGATTTTCTATGTCCCATTAGTATAACACGAGTTCCTTTGATAATTTTTAGAACTCCACCTTCAATAGTGTAGACGTACCCTTTTGAATCAAGAGTATTTAAGGAGACAAGATTTTTCTTCAGATTTGGGCTGTGTCTCACTGTATCAAGTGTTCTAACTATCTCATCAAACATCTTTATTCTGACCCAACCAATACCAGATATCACAAGGTCATCACAACACCTTTTGAAACTTCTTCATATGTTGAAAATAATTCACAGTTGGGTGACATATAAAAAACGCAAGCTGTATCCAAAATTCGAGCCTCATCAGGTTTGGAGTTGTAGTTAGACATAAGTAGAAACTCTCCATCTCTAGTAGGATTTTCTGCAATATTTGCTTCTCCTGAAGTTTCTGATTATTGATTTGCAGTTGACTTTGATCTATTATGTAACTTATAACAATCATTTATCAAGTGCCCTTCTTCTTGTAATAATTACAAAATTTGAAGTTAAATCTTAACTTGCATCTCGAATGACAAGCGTGAATAACGAGACCATCTCCATGATCCCCAAATGCATCATCTTCCCCTTTGAATATAAAGTATCGCAGACTTCTTTGATGGTGAGAGTGTCACGACTATATAGTATCATGTCTCTAAAAGACATGTATGAGGCGGTCAATAAACACAACAAAATCAATCACAAGACTTCATCATATTTGACCTCCAATGTCTCCAAATCAACGACGATTTTTTAAAAAGCAGCTACGCGATCTTCATGAGATATACTTTCTGTCATACGATGAGAATACAGACGTTGTTTCAAATGCAATTTGCTAGTAAAACTCTTTATCATACATACTTGTTCCAATTTTAACCATAATGCAGCGACTGACTTCTCTTTCAAAACGTCCTAAAGAATATTATTTCAAAGCTGGAGATGTATTTGAGGTAGGGCCTTTTGATCCCTATGTTGTTTATCCTCTATAGTCCAAGTTTCAGGCATCTTGTCTAATCCCAATTACGTGTTGTCTAAATTCATTTGAGCGAGTGCTACTCGCATCTTTATTAGCCACAAAGAGAGTTTTGTATTGCGATCTAATAGAGAAATACCATACTTTATTGTTTTCATCACAAAAACATCAATCCTCTTAAGAATTTCAATACCAAAAGCTCTGATATCAATTGTTATGGACCGGAATACTTTGATATCAGTTTGTTGTGAAAGATAAGAGATTAAGGCCACAATATGAAGTAATTGATCACTAGAATGCAAGAATAAAGTAATTTTGCAAAGAATTGAGATTTTATTAACATATGGAAAAAAAATACAAATATTATGTGTATACAATATTTCTAACTTCTTTCTAAATATAATGGAGATCCAACTATATTTAGAGAACAAATAGGGGACGTTCAAACCCTCATAGTAAAGTTATAGTTGAAGTAGAATGCAAGAAACGGAGTCCAAAACGGAATATGAGACAAAAACAACGCAGAGAGGCAGAACAGGTGGGGCGGCGCTGCGACGCCACACTTTGAGCACCGCAACGCCGCTGCGCTGGCTCTTCTGCCTAGTTTTGCATGGGTGGCACCTAACTCGGCACCTAGACGCCCTATCTCTATCCAAAAACCTTCCAAATGTGCTTTTCTTCATTCTAAAGTCCTTCAAGTCCAACACACACTCCTACTCTCAATGAGTTTCCAAATAGAACTTCGATTTAGAATTCACCAAGCAAATTTGAATTAGCATTCCAAATATAATTCTTCTTAACGTGCACTTTAATTAGAACTCTCAATACTTTTCAACAAAGAATTCAGATCACACTGAAATTATTACACAATTGATTGGTGAATAAGTTCATGATAATTCACGGGATTAAATGGTAAACCAATTAAATTGATGTGCCATGTCACTTGTTGTGTCCCTGGCTTTCTTTGCAAATCCGAACTTAGAGTTGTTGAAATTGCACTTCCGTTCTGAGGAGCTAGGATATTTTCTTTCCAAATTTGCCTCTTTGAGAATCCCTCTTTCCTTTGTTAGATTTTTCCAAAATAATACAGTTTTTCACAGCTTTAAATGTTGGTAGAGTTGTCTACATTATTTCTTAGTCGAAAAGGCTTCGGGGTTGGGGGTTTTGGTTTTTAAAC